GTCCCTGGGCACCGGTGGCACTCGGGGAGAGGGTGTCAGGGGGTCCCTGGGCACCGGTGGCACTCGGGGAGAGGGTGTCAGGGGGTCCCTGGGCAGGGGTGGCACTCGGGGAGAGGGCGTCAGGGGGTCCCGGGGCAGGGGTGGCACTCGGGGACCCCCGGGGCCCCCCCAGCAGGTCGGCCTTGTTGAGCACCAGCACGCAGGGGGTGCCCGGGGGCGGCTCCAGCGCCGCCAGCGCCGCCCCCAGAGCCGCCGGCGTGGGCGACACCGAGGTGGCATCCAGCACTGCCAGCACCAGATCGGCCTGGCACAGCCTGGGGACACACACGGCTGTGTCAGCATCACGACTCAGCTCTGGGGGCACCCCGAAACTGCCCGAAACACCCCAAAACACCCCAAAACACCCCGAAACTCCCTGAAACTCCCCAAAACATCCTGAAACATCCCGAAAATCCCCGAAACTCCCCGAAACATCCTGAAACATCCCGAAAATCCCCGAAACACCCCTAAACACCCCAAAACACCCCGAAACATCCCAAAACACCCTGAAACTCCCCGAAACACCCTGAAACACCCCAAAACACCCTGAAACTCCCCGAAACTCCCCAAAACACCCTGAAACACCCTGAAACTCCGCGAAACACCCCAAAACTCCCCGAAACTCCCCGAAACACCCCGAAACATCCCAAAACACCCTGAAACTCCCTGAAACTCCCCGAAACAGGGTGAAACTCCCCGAAACTCCCCAAAACACCCTGAAACTCCCTGAAACACCCCAAAACTCCCTGAAACTCCCTGAAACATCCCAAAACACCCTGAAACTCCCTGAAACACCCCAAAACTCCCCGAAACTCCCCGAAACTCCCCAAAACACCCCAAAACACTGCAAAACCCCACAAACACCCTACGACCCCCCACAAAACAGCCCAGAACCCCACAAAACACTGCAAAACCCCCAAAACACCCCGTGACACCCCAAAACCCTCCAAACCATCCCAAAACCCCCCCAAACCCCCGCTGACCGCTGGCGGGCCCGGCGCACGCCCTCGCGCTCCACGGGGTCGGCGGCGCGGCGCAGCCCCGCGGTGTCGCTGAGCAGCAGCGGGTACCCCCCGATGTCCAGGGCCACCTCCAGCACGTCCCGCGTGGTGCCCGCCGAGGGCGACACGATGGCGGCCGGGCGCCGGCCTGGGCACGCCGGGAATTCGGGAATTGTCCCGGGTCGTCCATGCCCGCGGGGGATGTGGGCACAGAGGGAATTCGGGGATTATCCCAACCCTCCATGCCCATGGGGGATGTGGGGACAGAGGAATTTCGGGGATTATCCCAACCCTCCGTGCCCGTGGGGGATGTGGGCACAGAAGACTTTCGGGGATTATCCCAACCCTCCGTGCCCAGAGGAAATTTGGGGATTATCCCAACCCTCCGTGCCCAGAGGAATTTCGGGGATTATCCCAACCCTCCGTGCCCAGAGGAAATTTGGGGATTATCCCAACCCTCCGTGCCCAGAGGAAATTCGGGGATTATCCCAACCCTCCGTGCCCGTGGGGGATGTGGACACAGAGGGAATTCGGGGATTATCCCAACCCTCCATGCCCAGAGGAAATTCGGGGATTATCCCAACCCTCCGTGCCTGTGGGGGATGTGGGGACAGAGGAATTTCGGGGATTATCCCAACCCTCCATGCCCAGAGGAAATTAGGGGATTATCCCAACCCTTCGTGCCCAGAGGAAATTCGGGGATTATCCCAACCCTCCGTGCCCGTGGGGGATGTGGGCACAGTGGGAATTTGGGAATTATCCCAACCCTCCATGCCCGTGGGGGATGTGGGGACAGAGGAAATTCGGGGATTATCCCAACCCTCCGTGTCCATTGGTGACTTGGGGCCATCAGGAATGGTCCTGTGGGAATTTGGGAATTATCCCAACCCCTCCATGATTTGGGGACAGCAGGGAATGGTCCCTGTGGGATTTTGGGAATTTTGAGCCCTCCACGCCCAGTCCCTGCTGTGCGTGACCTGAGGACGCTGGGAACAGTTCCCTCTGGAATTTTGGGAATTATCTCGTGCCCTCCACACCCACGGGCAACACGATGGCCTTGGGGACACTGGGAATGGTTCCCTCTGGAATTTTGGGAATTATCCCAGCCCCTCCACGCGCAGACAGCGGAACCCCACCCTCTGGAATCCCGGGAGCGCCGCCGTGCCCTCCCGTGCCCACGGCCACTCACAGAGCAGGTTGAGCAGGCTGCTCTTGCCCACGTTGGGGGGGCCGGCGATGACCGCCCGGACCCCCCCCCGCAGCAGCTCCCCCCGGCGCCCGTCCCGCAGGTGGCCCCGGAGCTCCTGCAGCAGCGCCCGCACGGTGCCCGCCACTGCGGGGACACGGCGCTCAGCGCGGGATAAAACACCGGGAGACCCGGGCCCGAGCCCCGGATCGGGGATCAAACACCGGGAGACCCGGGCCCGAGCCCCGGATCGGGGATCAAACACCGGGAGACCCCAGATCAGGGATCAAACACCGGGAGACCCGGGCCTGAGCCCCGGATCGGGGATCAAACACCAGGAGACCCGGGCCCGAGCCCCAAATCGGGGATAAAACACTGAGAGACCCGGGCCTGAGCCCCGGATCGGGGATCAAACACCGGGAGACCCGGGCCCGAGCCCCAAATCGGGGATAAAACACTGAGAGACCAGGGCCTGAGCCCGGAATCGGGGATCAAACACCGGGAGACCCGGGCCCGAGCCCCGGATCGGGGATCAAACACTGAGAGACCCCAGGGCTGGGATAAAACACTGAGAGACCCGGGCCCGAGCCCCAAATCGGGGATCAAACACTGAGAGACCCCAGGGCTGGGATAAAACACTGAGAGATACCTCAGGTCCTGACCCATAAATTTGGGATAGAACACCAGGAGCGACCCCAGGTTCTGATCCCCAAATCTGGAATAAAACACTGGAATAGACCTGGTCTCCTGATCCCTAAATTTGGAATAAAACACCGGAACAGACCCCAGGGCCTGATCCCCAAATCTGGGATAAAACACCGGGAGAGATCCCCTGTCCCTCTCAGGGGGACAAACAAGGACTTGGAGCAGGCGGATGGGACAAGCCCCCCTGGATGTCCCCATTCCCCGTGTCACAGCGTGGGGACACAGCCGTGGCACAGGGACAGAGGGGACAGCGGGGACAGAGGGGACAGAGGGACAGAGGGGACAGCGGGAACAGGAGGGGACAGAGGGGACAGAGGGGACAGAGGGGACAGCGGGGACAGAGGGGACACAGGGGACAGCAGGGACAGCGGGAACAGGAGGGGACAGCGGGGACAGCGGGGACAG